CCTAAAAGACAACTACACTGCTCTGACTGGAGTCGCTGCCCAGATTCAAGAAGGAGAAGAATTTCTTACTGCTAGAAAAGAAGCTAAGCTTTTCCTAGAGGATGTGAAATGCTGGGAGGTTTCAGATCCCGAAGAACAGCTTAGTAAGTTAATAGATTTTATGCAAACATTGAGTCAAAAAATAAAAAGTTACAACATTTGGATTAATACATGCCTCACAGATTGGGATCTGCAGAATTTTCTAATAAACACTGTCAACTTCTGCAAAAATTCACCCACTTATAAAACTCACTTTATTAAATCTCAGTTGTGCAGCCTTCTAGAACCTCATGTCTACAAAGTGACAAACTTTCCTCAGGCACAATCCATCATACAGTGGATCAATCAGTCAGAGTCAGAAGAAGAGCAAGTCAAAATCACCTCATTTTCTGAATTCATTAAGACCTTAAAGAAAACACACAAAAACCTGATGGAAGTGAATTTCAAAAGTGAGTCCCAAGAAACAGTGGAAGAAGTGAAAAGAACGGCTACATATGAGGTCACCACAGCTCTCATCTCCTTCTTGAAGTACCTCAGAGAAACAGACCAGCCAGACATGCAGCTGCTGCTACTCTCCATTGCAGCTGGTGCAGGCTATCAATTGGTAAACAGTGTTTTTCAGCATCTTCTGGGGTGTGATGAGTTAAACTTCCTCTTGGATCAAATGCAAAGTAACCAACACAAATACCAAGAGCTTAAGAATATTTGCAATTACAGAGCCCAGGCATTCCTGGTGCACACATTTCTAAGAGCCACCGTTGAAATCACAGATATTTCTACAGAAGAGAAAAGTCAGCGTTTGACATTGATAAAACAACATATGGGGAAATTGTTGTCTGAAGAAGTTGTACATGTTCTCACAAAACATGAAGCACATCATGACTGGGAAACTCTGGAGAATGATTTAAGATTACTCATTGATGGGGACTATAGAGCCACCACCCCTTCTTTACAAATGGACGAGGTAAAAAAACAATTGCAAAGTCTCTACCATGAAAAGAAACAGACTTATAAACAACAAAGTAATGAAAACAACACAAAGGAAATGATAGAAAATGGACCTTTCCTAGACTTGCTCCAACGTCTAGGCCTAGACCATTGCTATCCAAAAAGGATGAGCAGAGCCGACTTCCACCTGATCTATAAGACCTCTGTGTACAATTCACAGCCAAGATCTGAAAAGGAGCTTCCATTCTATTTTCTACAAAAGCTACTGATGTTGGATTATGGGTTGAGACATCTTGTCTTCAAAGATGATGAAAACATAAAAAAACAGATCTCCGTCGGCTGCTCCAATCAAGAAAATGAAGATTTTGATCCATATGAAGATGTCATTAAAGGCAATGACAGTCCTAGCTATCCTTCAGCCACTGAGTCCTGGCCCCACATTCACCCAATGGATATCCAGATGGCTATTTTACACTGTGCAGATGATCTTACCAGGCAATATATTCTGTCCAAACTTTCTATTTGTCAATTTGCACTCCCCCTTGTTGTGCCAAATCCCAACACTTCTCAGAATGAATTTTATCTCTGGTCTCTCAGACAAATTAGGAAAAGTTGGCAAGATGCAAGTAAATCTCTGCAGGACAAGAGCTACAGTCACAAGAATCAGCAGATATGCCGTGTCCCTACCCCCATTGTGTCCTTCATTAGAGTTGGAAATGGCCTCTCTGCTTCCAAATCTCAGATCATGAAC